TGGTAGCCCAGGTTGGCCTCGAACTCACGGAGATCCGCCTGGCTCTGCCTCCCGAGTGCTGGGATTAAAGGCGTGCGCCACCACCGCCCGGCTAGGTTTTGTTTTGTTTTGTTTGACTTGTTTTGAGGCAGGGTCTCACTCTGTCCTAGGCTGGTTTGAATCTCACTGTACAGTCCAGACAGACTCCAAATTCAGGGCAATCCTCCGGCCTCATCTGCCTGCTGCGTAAGTGTTGCTGCTGTACCCTCTAAGCACAGTTACTGATGACACTCCCTTTAGCTCTGAGCAGTGTTCCTTATGGATGGTGAAACAGTTTTGCTGCCTGGTCTATTATTTCCAGTGCTGACACTCTATAAATATTTTACAAGGATGGTGGTGGTGCAGGCCTTTAATCCCAGACTTGGGAGGCAGAGGCAAGCAGATCTCTGTGAGTTTGATGCCAGCCTGGTCTACAGAGTGAGTTTCAGTACAGCCAAGGCTGTTAACACAGAGAAACCCTGCCCCACCCCCTCAAAAAGGAAATTTTTAGACAATAGTGATTGAAGGAAGGAGGTTTAGAAGTTCAGTTGTCATCCTCAGCCACATAGCCCATTCTTGGACAGTCTGGGCTGTCCTATGCCAAGAAGGCCTATGCCACTTGAAACCCTATGCCAAGAAGAAGAAAAATCCAGCCTGCAGGATGGTTAGTGTTAAAGCTCTTGTTGGACAAGTCTGATGATCTGAACTCTACCCCACAAACCACATAAACGTGCAGAGAGAGCAGTAACTTCGGGCCTGTCCTCTGACCTCCACACACTTAATGTGGAATATGCATGTCCCTACCCAATCACACACACACAATAATTAAGGACAATTCAAAAGTGCTGACCAAGACACATTCATGTCTTTAATCTCCTACCTATGGCAGGTCCAAGGGACATGACAGTGTTACCTAACTACTGTGACCTCTTACAGGATTGGGAATCCTGAGGGACAAGGACATTGTTTCACTGTCTTTATCTCCTTCCTTTAACCCTTCCCTTCCCCATCAAACACAGTGTCTGGGGTGGGAGGGCTGTAGGAAGGACATGGCCAGTGTGGGAAGGGCACTGGTAGACCCATTCTGCAGGATAGTTGGAACGACTCTGAAGTGAAAAAGAGAGAGACAGAAAGGAAATTCACATACGATTGTGCACAGAAATGCTGACACAGCGTCTTTAAAACTAACAAGAAAAGCCGGGCGGTGGGGGCGCACGCCTATAATCCCAGCACTTGGGAGGCAGAGGCATGTGGAGCTCTGAGTTCGAGGCCAGACTGATCTACAGAGTGAGTTCCAGGACAGGCACCAAAGCTACACAGAGAAGCCTTGTCTGGAAAAATCAAAATAAAATAAAAATCACAGGAAAACCTGGCAGCTAGGTAAAGATGGCTCAACAGTTAAGAGTATTGGCTGCTCTTCCAGGGGACCCAGGTTCAATTCCCAGTACCCACACGGTGGCTCCCAACCATTTGTAACTCCAAGGAAAACCAATACCCTCCTCTGACCTCCCAGTTCCTATATGAGCATGGTGCACGTACGTAGACTCGGGCATACACATGAACACATACAGGAAATAGATTGTATTTTTTAAATCACAGGAAACATTTAGAGTAGCCTAACTCTCTGTGAGTAGGAGATGACCTAAGGAGTCCTTCCCATGACAGAAAATAGCTGCCACTTTGAAATATTAAGCCCTTGCTCACAGGGCAGTGGGCTACAAGTATTCAGCAAAAACCTTGGTTAAAAACAGCTGGTTGGGCAGGTAGTAGAACTGTAAACATAACACTCAGGAAGCAGAGGCAGGAGGATCTCTGAGAGTTCCAGGATAGCCAGGACTACATAATGAGACCCTGTCTCAAAAACCACAACAAACAGCAGATTGAGCTCACAAGCAGGTAAAGCCTTGCAATAAGCTTGAAACCTGAGTTCAGTTCCCAGTACCACATGGTAGAAGGCAAGAACCAACTTCTGCAATTATCCTCTGACCACCACATGCATGCTCTGGGATGCTCATGCCTCCTTCACATGCACATGAAGTAAATATAATAATGATAATAAAACAACAACAATAAATTATAATAAACTAGTATGGGGAAAGAACAAGTGTGGAGCCCAACCCACAGCCCTCAGCCTGGATCCTCACCTATAAGGAACAGCATCCACTCGTTGCCTTCAAATGTAGACAGCAGTTTCTCCCACTGGGTCTGCCAAAAGTAGCCAGAAGCACCCCAAAATCTCTGAAGATGCCTTGGAGGAAAAGCATTTACGTGTTTACGAGCAGACTGGGAAGCCAGCTCTTTCATGCCGTGCCTCTCACCCCAAA